AGCGCGGAAGACAAAAAACTTAATAAAAAGTAATCAGAAGCACCGGAGCGACCGGCAGGTCGATTGCCGGGGTGAGACCGATTCCTACCTGCGCCGGTCTCCAACCAAAGCACAATCCCCGTTTCCTCTTAAAACAGGAACGGGGATTTACGCTAACGATGGCTTCGCTGCCCACAGTAATTTAGCTAATAGCTGGTCACCTCCAGCAAAGTCACACTCGGGGTATCATCAGATAACGCAGCAGCAGCAACAGTTATTCAGCTTTCAGTAATTACAGGGGGGGGATAAAATAATCAGGAAAGTCGTGTTTTACTACTTTTAAATGAGTAATCCCGTCCTCTGCCAAGGTACAAAGATTAGAGGCCATGTGGGAACAACCGGCCTCACGCGGGTGGTTCCCCCCCGTACAGCACAGTTATTTACAGTGGCTGCCGTGGTTCCTCGAGGGGTGGGGAATTCACCTGTTTTATAACACGAAGGGGCCCCTCACGTAACACCAGAAAATGGCCGAGGGCGACCTTTAACTCGCACCGCCTCAAACTGAACGCTAGAAGCTCGTAGGGACGTAAGTTCGATTTTCATTAATCTCTGCAAACACTTGTATTAGCAATGATCCCAGCGAAGATTAATGAGTTATGCAGTAAAGTCACAGCAGCCTTTTAAGTGTTTGCAAGGTTGAAATCGTCAATATTTTGGTTGCCCAAAGCAATTTGTTCGTTTTCTTGCCTAAATCAAGCTAAACTTTGCCGTGAGCAGCTTAAACAGAGCTTAAAGAGAGCACTTGAGCTTAACCTGCAGTCGCTGCATCACAAACGGGTAAAACCAAGCCTCTGTAAAACTATGACGAGTGTAAAACTACGAGGAGTGTTTTAGGTCGCTCAAACGACCCCGAAACTTTGACGGACGATGCAAATATGAAAACCAGAAGCCAACGATCCAAGCTCAGTAAAGGGGCGGCCCCGGGGCACCTCACACAACCACGGGCGACCCTTCGCTGCCCTGTAAAGCTACCGGGCAACGCGAATTCGTTACCAACTTAATTACCCGCTTAATTCTTTACGTTACAACATACATCCCTACGAGCAACGGCGCTGCCTATAGTTATCCTTAAAACCACGCTGTGAACTGCTTGATGGAGTACGCGGTACATACCCAAAGAATAACGGGGCTTTAAAGAGTTTTCTCGGGAAAACTTCTGCTGCAGAGAGCGGGGAAACTTTAACGTTATTCGGAGTGAAAACTACTCGCAGGTTTTTTTTACGTTTGAAAGGCATCGGTGAAAATACAAACCGGCCAAGGCAAACACCTCGGAAGCACTGAGGGGGATGAGGATGAGCTTGTTAATAAAGGTGAGAGCAGCCTGAGGTTATAACGAACAGACTTTTGTTCCCTGCTGTTAATTAGTCGCGTAGAGCCGTATCTCTCACGGCCGCCGTGCATTCGAAGTGAGCAGGAACAGTCTTCGCTTTCACGCCAGCGGCTAATTACCGCATTAAACGAGCACGGGAACCGAGCGTCCGTGCCAAGCAGCATCCCGACGGTGTGAACGGACCTCGCTCCTCCAGCATTTCACCCACGAAACCCCCGGGGAAAGAGCAGCCGCTCCCCGGCCCGGCTCCGGCTTCCAGCAGCACCCAGGTTTCCCCCCTTCCCGCCCAACACGGCGCCCAAAAACGCAGGAGGGTGGCTCAAGAGTTTCCCCCTCTCCCAGAGCTGAGCCCTCCAGCTTTATAGTTTCCAAACAACTCCTACAGAAGTAGGAAACAACCTGGAAAAAAGGGAAAGTTTAGCTTGAAAATTTAAAGAAACCCACCAGCCGTGCGAGCTGAAGACCGGGCGAGCAAATCGCCCCGTTGGAAGCTTAAAAGGGGCCCAAGGAGGGGTCGAGCGCCGTGGAGCGTGAGGTGGAGCGTGTGTTATGGCGGGGAAGCTGCGGGGAGCGGCGGGCGGGCG